AAGCAAACCAGTATAACTTCTTGCTGATGGCTGTGGGAATGCTTAAATACAATGGCAAGTAAAAACCTCCATTCCTTATACAAAGTAACTGGCTTTTAACATTGTATGAATATATCAGTTATTATTATGAAGCATTTCCTCAAGTCGTCTATAGAATTATTATATGCAAACAAACACATATATGTATAAGGAATGCAGCTGTAGTGTGCAAGGAGTAATTCATTATACTGATTCTGAATGCATTGTAACTTAAAATAATTAAAATTTCTCTATTTAAAAATCATTAATCTAATTGGTATACTATTATACATTCTTCATATTTTTTCAACATTGCGTCTGGGTATTTTGGCACCACCAGTGCCCAATTAGTTAAGATATCTGAATGTTGATAGTTCATCCTGCATCTGAACCCAGAAGTGGCTGTATGGTTGTTTTTTATGGTTTCCACTTTGTATAATGTGAATGAGCCAATAAGCCTGAGAAAGTCCTCTGGAATAGCATCTTTTTCGTAGGCAGAAAGCCCTCGTGAACTTTCCTGTATTATAGTAACTATAGTTTCTTGTTATTACTCTATTGAATTTAGTTATATTCTAAATTTGAAGGCCCAATGGCAATGGATTAGTAAAACTACTTAACGCTGGTAATTTGACCCAAGTTCAGACTGCATGAATGCACTAGCTTGTAGGTGTTTTTATGATTTTCTTCATGTAACTTGAACATAAGCCAGTTTTTCTGAGAAAGCATAATATTTATTGTTTGTAATATATCATATTTCCTTGGCAATAATTTTTTTTTACTACAAAACATCCTTAATGAATTTTGGTAATCACCACTTTTTTTTAATATATAAAAGCTATGTCTTTAGAAACTATCATCTGCATTTTTTCTTCTAATCTTTCAGTATGTCTGTTTCGTTATAGCAATTAGTAATGTCAAGTAAGTATAGCGTACAGTCTTTATTGCCGATGGAACCAGATACTCATGGCCTTTATTCATAGGAGTTTGATGCCCTCTATTAGCCAAACAATAAGGCTGCTGTATACTGGCAGTTTGACCTGTGTTCGAACGAGCTGCTGTCTTTGTGAGAGGTGGTCCCACCGCCCATTGCATGATATAAGCCAGTTTTCCTTAAATGGTCCCCCATGAAGGCTTTAACCTTGATAGCCATGATATACTTTGCCAGAATCTGAATTATCCAATCCAGAAGTTTGACCAAAGGGCAACTGGAAACATTTTGTTGGCAAAAGAATTCTGGATTAAAAAAAATTATCACAAAGAAAATGTGACCTGGTAAAATCACTTAGTACCAAAAGTTCTCCACAGAGGGCAAACACGCCTTCCTTTAGGCAGATAGTCCTCATGTGTTTTGCCATAGCTTAAATAATCTAATCTAATGTAAGTTTGAATTTTCTTTGGTTTTTAAGTGATTTTTCACATTGAAAATGCATTGCACTGTGAACATCTTGCATAGTAGTGAACCTGCTCATGAGTCCCTAAAATATTTTATATTACCATGTGAATGCAATCACATGATATTAGCACATTAAACATGGGACTAAATTTGTTTTAAATTTGGTTTAAGCAGCTTATAAATACAGAAAATATATCTGTGCTTAAAAAAAAAGTAACAAAAAGAGAAATGGACAAATAAATATCTGTTAATATAATGTTATAAAGTTCAAGTTAGTTGAATGTCCTAAGTACGAGGGCCATCCAGGAAGTAGATTACGTTTCCATCTGTGTCCGCTAGGGGCGGGGCTAGCGCGGCCATCTTGGGGTCAGAGCGTTGCGCAGCTCAGTCTGCATCTAGCCGTGCTAGTGAGAGGTTCGTGCTGTGCTCCGTTCAGATACTGTGACGGTTTGAAATGTCTGCGTTAATTGAAAATCCGCGAGCTGCGAGGTGCGCTCAGTAATAAGGTTTCTGACTGCAAAAAACTGTAAACCGATAGAAATCTATCGGCAGCTTCGTGAAGTGTATGGGGACAACATTATCACTGAAGGTGGAGTGCGTCAGTGGGTCATAAGATTTCAAAATGGCCGAACCAATGTTCACGACGAAGATCGAAATGGGAGACCCAGCATAGTGACCGCCGAACTTCTCGAAAAAGTCGATGCTAAAGTCCGTGAAAATCGAAATTTCACAATAACGAAACTTTCTTTGAGTTTTCCACAAATTTCGCGAAGTTTGTTGCACGAAATCATCAGCGAAAAGCTTGGTTACCACAAGTTTTGTGCAAAGATGGATTCCAAAAATCTTGACAGAGGACCACAAAAATCAGCGAATGGCTGCAGCGTTGAACTTTTTGGACGCTTACCATAAGGATGGTGACTCTTTACTCGATCGCATCGTTACTGGTGACGAAACATGGGTGAAACATGTGAACTGTGAAACGAAATTGCAATCAATGCAGTGGGGGCACACAAGTTCTCCCCAAAAACCCAAGAAATGCATGCAACAATGTCGGCAAGGAAGATGATGGCGACTGTTTTTTGGACAGAAAAGGTGTAATTTGGTGGACTTCTTGGAAAGGAGGCACTACAATAAACTCTCAAAGGTATTGCCAAACTCTCCAAAAACTCAGAAGAGCAATTCAAAACAAGCGCAGAGGAATGTTGAGCTCTAAGATCTTGTTGATTCACGACAACGCCCGGCCCCACACGGCAAATGTCACTCGTAAAGTTCTTGAATCTTTTAAGTGGGAGTTGTTTCCTCATCCGCCGTACAGTCCCGACCTGGCACTGAGCGACTTCCACCTATTCCCAGCAATGAAGAAGTGGCTGGCGCAGGCGGCCGAATTTTTCGACGAAGGAATTTCCAAGCTCGTACATCGCTACGATAAATGCCTTAATTTGTATGGTGACTATGTAGAAAAGTAGTATTTGAGTGTGGCTTTCATCTGTATATAATAAAATTTGTTTCCTATACTTTGTTTATTTTTTTATTCCAAAACGTAATCTACTTTCTGGATAGCCCTCGTATTTGAAGACTTGTATTAAAATATTATCTTAATTCGATTGTGAAGTATAAAAAATCTAATAAATTCATTTTATTTTTAATGAAAAGAAATATTTCTGTATACATATTACCTCCTACTTGTCATTGCCTTTGCGATTTCTTATATTTATTTTCTATAGCAGTAAAGTAGTGTTTAGTTATTGAGTAGTTTCTGTCTCTAAAGTAGAAGTTTTATTGTTGTTTAATATATCGAAAGTAGCAGTGCAGGATTTAACTATAAGATACACAAGCTATAGCTTAGTGCTCCCGCTTTCTTGGGGGTAACTCAAGAAACCTTCTAGATATCCAAAAATCATATTTGGCAATGACATATAATTACGGACTTTTAAAGGCCTCCCATATCTCAAATAGTTAAAGCCTTATCAAGTCTAAATCCAGTCCTGGAAAGTAGCAGGATGAAATTACAAACTTGGCAAAACATAACTATAATTAGATGTTGGTCTTAAAAAGTTGCATTTTTGGTTTTCAGTTTTGCTTAATTTTAAATTAATCACTTGTTCCATCACAGAAGAAAAAGAAGTTATTGTTGTTAAGAACTAAGTTGTTGTTAAGAAAAAAGAAGTTATTCTTTTATAACCATGTATCGGGTTGACAATGTACCAATTTAAATCCCCCAAACTAGTCACAGAATAGTTTGAGGAGCATGAAAATGAGCTAGAACATCTTTCACATCCAGCATATTTTCCTGGTTTCAATACCACTTTCTGTATCTAGCACATGCTACAGCCTTTTCTTTTAAAATAGACACTTCAAGGTTTTAATGACCCTCCTGTCATTTATGATGGTTAATGGATTTCCATTTCATTGTGCAACCCCTGTATAATGGTATTAATTCTTTATGCCAAAACTGAAAAATTTTTTAAAAGATTTATATGTGTTTTATGGCAGTAAGCTAAAAAATATATGAGTATGTATTTTGACATACTCAACTTTTTCTTTGTGTTGGGAGATTTTCAAATGGTCACAAATATGTATAAAGAGAGAATTCCAGTATGCTTATTAGACATAGCATATAAATGAAAGCATTCAGTTCAAGTCCTGATTTTCAGGATTCAACTATATTTTTAAAAATTCTTTCAAAATCATTTGTTGATAGGATCTGTTATCCCTTTTTTGTCTCCTCTTCCATGCATCCATTTCAGTAAAGTGGATGAACTTTTGTGTTCTAGAAAGAACTAATTCATGCTGAGGTTGATTCTTGTATATAATCTGTATGCAGTAGGTGTTTCATTGGTGAAAATTAAAGTTAAAATCATGATTTGACAGCTTCTCTTCTGGGAATTCAGCCCAGTGGGTGTCGAACCGTAATGTTGCTACTTAGATCAGACTTTAAATTGTGTGACTGTAAACATAAGTGAATCATGTACATGTTAATTGTAACTCTAGGATGGATATCAGCTGTTATCCATCCTAGAGTGCCTTTGATAAGTGATCCTTTTTGCCTGTTTTAGTCAGGGCCGGCTTAAGGCATTTAGAGGTCCAAAACTGTTAAAATATTTTTGAACCCCAACATATGTTTATACCAGTTTTTTCCTTCTCTCTCTCATTTTTGGTTTAATTGCACTATTAATTTTATTGTGGTAACTGGAAATTTTTTGGTGTCTCCTTTCTTGAATACTTAAGGATCTTTTTGTGGTGCTTCCTTTCCTTAATGTCCAAACATGCGCTTATATTGCCTAATAGTTAATCCAGCCCTGATTTTAATATTGAAGCAAAAGATCCTGTAGGTATAAATTTGCTCATTTATAGTTCAGATGTTTTAAGTTATCGATTTTACTGACTAAATGCAGCGGCTACTGTAACAAAGGAGTACCAAATATTATTCCGATATAAAATAAGTTTTTGATAATGTGTATTTAAAAAAATTATTGTTACATTGTGTTTTTAAGATCAAAAGTGAAATGTCTTCATTATACGTGTGCTTATAATGTACAGCCAAGCATTTCTTTGTTTTTTTAATCTAATTACCTCTCTTCATTTTAAGGAAGAGAGATGAGTAAATGAAACTAACTGATGGCTTAAGATGAGTTAGAAGCTCATACCTTAATGAAAGGATCCTTTCGGTGAAGGTATGATTGCATATTTAGTAAGTATATAAATTTGTAACTTGTTTTAAAAAGTTGCAGCATGCCTTGAAAAGTTATAACCATTTCTGAACAATAAATAGATGTGTTCATAACTTATTCCAATAGACTCGTCAAATTTTTGTTCACATTCAAAATTCAATATTCATTCTCAATTACTCACAATTCACATTCTCAATTACTCAAAAACATTTTTTTGAATGTAAGTAAACCATATTTGTTCTAGAATGTTGGTATTAATTTCCCAAGTTTGTTTTGCAATCATTCTCTTTAAATATATAATGTCTATTTCTGTAACAGTACTGATATAAAGCTTATTTATAAGTCCAAATAAAAAAGTAACTGGACTTTAATGAAATGAAACTTCAGTAACATATTTTGTTTTAGATTAGGAGTCCCAAAAATTTTTTCTTTCTCGTATCCCTTAATGAGAATTATTTCACATACTTCTTAATCAGGCGATAATTACCCTAATCTCTTCCTCAAGAATCTATAATCCCCTGTGTTTAGTATTCTTGTATTACATGAGATGAAACACAAAAAAAAAAAAAAAAAAAAAAAAAAAAGGAAACTAAATGCATAGCTTCATTAAATGCTGAAAATATAGTGACCAAATATGATACAGTGTGTCATAACAAGTAAGAAAATGTGTAGACATGACATGTGCGGAATCAGGTAATGTGATAAATGTTAGCAGGACTTGGTAACAACTTATTACAATGCTTATATGCACATTTTGGATAGCAGCATTCATATCGGAATTAGTCAAATTTATTTTCTTTCTAATAAAAAGAAAATTAAAATTTTCTGAATATTTTGATTTTTATCAGCACTTGCAATGCATTATTTTCTGCCATTTATTCTTTTTTCACATACCCTTGATTATGACATAAACCACAGTGGTATGCATACCACAGGTTTAGAATCACTGTTTTAGGTAGTGTGTTACTGATAAATCATTCTTGCATTTGGTATATAACATTTCATAACTTGCATTTTTTAACAGATTCTGTTGGCTTACTTCAAGATGTCCCCCTTTCCTCCCCCACTATGCCACTGGGAGCCAGGGAGCAAAAATCTACCACTAACCCCTGGTCATAAATTACAGTTTAAACTAAAGTTAGTTATATCTTTTTAGAACACTCAGAATATTCAGTGACACATTTATGAAGTTTTGCACAAATGGCGTTTTTGAGAAATTTGTCATTCCCAAAGGGTCCCAGATAATTTTTAAAAATTTTAAACATACTCTGCATCTTAATATCAAGAGCTGCCAGAAGTTTAGAGGAAGTGAGCTCTTTGCTTCATCAATCCATTACTGTGTATATTGTACCTATTATATTTGTCTTTCTCTGTACTAGGATCAAGATGATTATTGGTTAATTATATGTATTAATTTATTTGGTACTTTTCTAATACATCTGTCACACTTTCACAGGGAAGGAGAAGCCAAGCACATGCCAAGACCCTGAGAAAGCTCCATGAAGATTGCCATTGTGTGTGTATCTATGAACTATTTTTTAACTAGAAATTGTTTACATTTAAAAATGTAGTAAAATGCTTGGCAGGTTCATAATGGAAAATTACCATTTATTTTTCTGTGGAAATTTTTAAGTTCTGAATTGTAATTATTTTTGATCTTGATCCTCTGCACACAGCTAAAATAATAAAACCATCCATTTATGTCATCATATTCAGATGAAATTATCCTTATTTTTGTGTATTTTCCTTTAGAATTTAACTGTCGAGTAAATTAATTTTTCCCCTTCTAGAGGGAAGATATAATCATGTTCACTGGATGACTTTCTAAATGATAAGAAATAAGCGGGGGAGGTAAATAGCACCTGTTTTTTTAAATATGGTTCATTCAGATTTTTTAATATTTGCAGTAATAAGTTCTTTTAATACATTCATTATCATTTCATCATATTCTTTGTGAACTATATATTGCCTTAACTAAATTGTATTATCAGTAGTATAGCATTTAGAGATATGTTGCACAGCTAAATGCCTGCAGAATAAGATTTTGAATGTAAAGAACATGCCCAAAATGTAAAGAATGACACTATGATGTTATAATACAGTTATTTAATTTCAAAATCCATTACAGTGATACAGGGACCAGACCGAAGTGTTGCTAAATTTGGTAACAAAAAATTGTTGCCAAAAGCTGTCACCAGTTTGGCGATATCTCGTTAATTTACCGAGATAGCCATATATTCAATGTTAAGTAGACATGCCCCTGTATTTTTACTTTCCTGGCAAAGCTTTGCTTCTTTAGATTTTTGTGATACATTATACAGAAAAGTATACAATTTCACTAAAATTATATGTGTACAAAATTCGTAACAATATTCTTAATTTCTTATAAACTGAGTTTTTTTATGATGCTTGATAATGCATATACAAGGGGTGCCCAAGAGAAACCAATGTGCCATATACAAGGGGTACCCAAGAGAAACCAATTTGTTGGTGGGCAGAGCTTTTATAGGACTGCATTTTGCCACTGGGAGTGCATAGAGCAAAAATTTCTTAGTCAGTAAGCCGAGTGCTGTTGCTAAAGAGGGTGAGAATTAGTTTTGGTGGAGTTTATAGTGATAACTGTTTTTTGTTATCATTGTTTTCGCAGTGGTTGATTTCCATGAACCATGGTGGTGAAATTCTGCGTTTTGTTCAGAAAAAGTGAAACAAATTGAGGGAAAACTCGGAAGAGTTTAAGTGGCTTTCCTGTTTCAAAAATGGTTAAATGTCAATTGATGACAAACCTCATTCTGGTTGTCCTTCCATGGCACAACAGATGAAAACATTGAAAATATTTGTGCATTGTGCAGTTATCAACAAAGATCGACGACGGACCATTCTAAAAATTTGTGGAACTGTCGGGAGTGACTTGAAGTTCAGCGCAACGAATTTTGACAGGAGATACTGGAATGAAAAACAGTGGCTGCCAAATTTGTGCCACAACTGGCTGAACAAAAACAGGGTTGTAAGAATGTCCTAGGATGAAAACAGATATGAGAGGAAAGCATTTGCTGATGTTGTTGAGGTGAATAATAATAGAAAATAATGATGGAGGCTCTGTCAAGCATCACATAAGATGAATTTAAACAATGTTTTGAAAAATGGAATAAAAGATTAAGACAAATGTATTGGTACAGCTGGAGAGTACTTTGAAGGGGATTGAAGGTTTGTACTTAAAATGTGAATAAAGAAATTTAAAAAAAAAAGTCAATTAAGTTTCTTTTGGGTACCCCCTCCCTCGTATATATACATTTTTAGAATTATTTTACCTTAGTTAGTATGAGGTTTAGTGAAAATAAGCTATCACACCAGTGGATGTTGATGATTGTTATATTTTGGATAGTTAAAAGATTTAGTAAAGGCACACAGAATCTATTGATCCTGAAATCACTGAAAGATTGGTGATAAAGCAAGAGTAGTGCAAGACTATTGATTTCATCTATCGGACTTGTTTTATTTCAAATAAAGATGGAACTGAAATCATTCTGTTCTTAGTAATATTCAAGGTGTTCATTGCCCGAGGTGTAGTTCCTGCCTTACCTAAAATTAACTGTAATGATAATAAGTGATATTAGTATTGTTAGTTAGTAACTATCAATGAGGCATCCATAATCTGGGCATGTAATTATCAGCTGTAATGGTCATTTCATATAGAAGTTATTAATCCCTCCCCCTTTGCTGAAAATTAATATATGTTCTATCTTAAATTTGAAATTACAAAATATTTTTGTCACTAAGAAGTTTTTGATGGACCTATGTTTGGTCAAATATGCAATATCCCGATCACCAATTTTCTCTGCAATGCACCCAAGTTTTAAATGTTAAAAAAAATATTATATGATACTATATTTATTAAATTTTTTGTTTAGATGTGTTTAATATAAATATCTACATAAAAATAATTATTAAAATTACGTAAAAAATGCCTTCGAAAATGGTTTTCCAACCTTACCATTAAAACAGCTTTACAACCTGCCTTGGACATTAGAGCATAAAAACCAAATTTATCACAAAGAATTATTTGTTTAGTAAAAAAATAATTTTTTGCTTACTTTATCAAAAAAAAATTGGCTATGAATATAAAAAAAATATCTTGAATGGTTCTTTTAGTTAAAATTCTAACAGATATCACATGGATATTCAAGGTGGGAAATCTCATTGCGAAAATTGTGAAGAAACTAGGACTAGTCGTGCTATCTCTTAGCAATATTCAGAAATACAAAAATAATCGTGGAATTTAAAGTGATGTATGAGTAACAACAAATTCAGTTTCAACGATGGAATTTTTCAGTTCGTCACATAGCATGCAGTGCCGACATGGAAGTGGTTAAGAATTTTATTTTGTGCAAAAATAAGTAATCTATTAACTGATGTGTAGGTGATGACCAAAATGTTGATTTCTGCTTTTTAAGATTATCATGAAACTTAATTTAAAAAAAAATGCAAATTCTAATAGATGTATTGAAAGCTTGAATTAGTAGGGATTAATTTTAATTTATTCCCTCTCTTTTTCATTGTGCAAATCTGAAAAAAATTGTTTATTGTATTTCATTGTATACAGAATTTCAAATATGACAGAACTTCGATCTATTGCTTTTTAATGGGAAAGAGAAAAACTGTGGTTATAGCAAAATGACTTAAACTGGCCAATTATACATAACGTACATATTGTGAATAATAAATATTTATTATTTTCAATGTGAATACACTATATTAAAAAACTTGTTACGACCAAATTCTACTTTATTGGCTGCATTTGCCTGAAGTGGAAGTACTTTTTAAAATTTATCGCAGACTTCATCATCTGTTTATCTGCAGACTGAGCATAAAACCTAATAGAAATAAATATATTTCCAAATTTAAGTGAATGCAATGGCTGAGTGGTACCAGTAGTGCCCAAGTAGTAAAACCGCTGAATACTGGTAGTTCGACCCAAGTTCAAATCTTGACGAAGAGGATGGCTGCATGGAATTTTTTTGGTTTTACCCATGTGTAATGTTAATCTTAAAATCCTTCATGAAGGCATCACTCTCAGACAGATAGGCCTTGTAGGCTATGCCGTAACCTAAATAATCCAAATCGGTTAAATAATGTTTTGAATTATGAAATAATGTTTTGAAAAAGATGCTAATAATGTAGATGTACCATGCAGAGTTAAACACCGTATGCAAAGCATTATTTTGTTATTATTTTTAGTCCCATAAAACATTGATACACTGACTATAAATATGTTTCATTTAAAATTTTTTTAAAGCAATCTGTTTGGAAAATGCTGCTCTGGGAACACAGATCAGTGTGGTAGATCAATAATTCATGGAATTATGGATACAAGAATAGATAATGTTATTTACATAAATTTTATTCGTGACTGAAAATGGGGAATGATACATGTAGGAAAACTGTTACCAAAGAAGCAATAGATCGAGATTCTATAATGGTAACATCTCATGTTTCAAGTTTTTTACATTTCTGCAGAGCACAGGAATAGCACAGGGATTGAGTTACTCATGGATATGTTAAGAAAATCTTTGAATTACCTCACCTAGTTACCAACAGCATACATGGACAAGGAGGTGCTTTATAGACGAGTTAACAATGCTGTCCACAGGAAAATCACACCTTAACTTTGTTAGGAAGAACTTGGCGGCAATATGTCAATCCTTCAAGGGTGTCTCACGGAGCCATTGGCCTCAAGCACCAGCTTGAAAAGCATCCTTGCTTGGAGATGTAATGCTGCAAATGAATGCTAATTCCATGCCATTCATAAAAGCTATGGCATCAAAGGAAACAATCGTTCCCTTTTAGAGATAACCTTGGAATGAGTGCTCAAACACAGTCCATCACATCTGCTTCAAAGTTGGAAGCCAAAATCTTGATCCCTCCACAACCATGCCCATGACAGGCTTAACTACCAAGAAGGATCATCCCAAACAATAGACAAATTAATGTATGTTATAATTTACATCAAATGATTGAATTTTTTCCAATGTAACAAAATAGGTATCCCTTCTTAATGAAAAAATGAGTTGAAGCTACATGTAGTGCTTCTATTGATTTTAAAAATGCTTTTTGTTATGAATATTTTTAAAGATCCATAAAAGTCTGTGTTCTTCCAGAAGTCAGCTCTGAGAATTTAACAAGATGTCATTGTTGATTATCCATAAGCTTGTAACAATAGATTGTATTGTCTTATCTCTATCAGGAAAGTGAATCGTAGTATATTTCTTTCAAAATATTGTATCAGTTTTCTTTATCTGATTTTATGCCAAGTTGTAAATATGTCATTAAAGATGAAAGCTTGCAATTTGTTCATCATTTTTTCCCCCTTGCGTATAAAGAATTCATTATTTAATTAATTTTAACCGTCTGAACATTATGAGTTTGTCTTTGAAATTTCGAAGTTCCCCAAAATGTCATGAATAAGCAGAATTTTCTTGATTATAATTCCAAAAAACCCTATCACTTTGTACAAACTCCCTTTCTTTCAGTATGCATTCAACTCAAAATTGGATTTATCAGTATCTGTCAGAAATTTTCATGTGTACCAAATGAGAAAGGCATCTTTCATTAAAGACTTTTGCATCCATAGCCCATAGGGGATTAAAAGTATTAATGATAAATTCATATGTACTACAAAGTAATTATTCTTTGAAAAAGCTGAGCTTTTCTGCTGTAAAGTTTTTCAGGAGTCTCATGTCTCAAATCTTGTAATGTACCGAGAACCAAAGAGTGCTTGTATATAATGTATATTTACTGTAAAATACAAAGCCAAATAATTTATATCCATGTTGTATTCTTATTTAGCTTTATTTTTAGGCTTTTTGAATAGTTTTAGAATGCTTGGGAAAAAGTACATTCATGCAAAACCATCATAAATTTTGCTGTAACACATTTGTATAATTTACATAATGAAAGCTTAATACATTAAAATGAAATTAATATGCATGCGAATGAGATAAGACTGCTAAATACTAGTATTTTCAGTAAGTTTAAACCCAAGTTGATAGGCTGACTATATCAGCATTTTCATAGTTTTCCATATGTGTAATGCAATGCGAATGAGTCATTTGGCCTTAGAAAATCCTCCATAAAGGCATCCATTCCATTTGGCAAATATCTGTTGTATCCTTGTTTTGATGTAATCAGTTAAATAAAATGCATTTATTACTGATAAAAATAATGTTTGAAACTGTTAATGCCATAGCTTTTTTGGAAACGTTCACATGTTTAGGTATTTAGAGGGATAAGAATGTGTAGGCTGACTGCCTTTATCGTGTGAAGGTGTAAGGTTCTATGTTTAAAAAAAATGAAACATTCTGTTTTACTAAATAAATAAAATTGGAATTTAATTCACTTTAATTTCAAGATAACATAGTATATATTTTACTGGAATGTTAATTTATCTCTCCTTTTGTCACAAAAGTAAAGTTGGTTTGAATGCCTAGCTGGCATCAGACCACATTCACAAAAGTAAATTAAATTTGCCATTTATCTTTCATAGGGCTCATTCAGGAAGAAAAAGCATATTGTTTGAATTTCATTACCCTTCATGCCTTCCTCCCAAAAAATTAAGAAATAAATTGGATTTGTAATAAAATTGTGAAAGTTGTTTATCCTTATTTGGCTTGAGTTCTTGAGTGTTTATTTGATGTAAAATCTCAAAATTCATTCAGTATGTAACTGAGCAGTAAACTGTGAAATTCCTTCAATATTATTTGTGACATTTCTTTAATACAAAATACATTTGTAAAATATCATAAAAATAGCTTTTAGCACACGTAAAATACAATAAAAATAGCTTTTAGCACATGTTAAATATTTATGTAGAACTTTTAAGGGTTTAAGAAGATGAGGTTTGTAACGAAATTGCGGAATTCCTTGAATATTTTATGGCTAAACTGTGAAGCTCTTTTAATTTTAATAAGTTAAAATTTACTGAATATAAATGTTACTATTTAAATAGTATGCCAAAAGGAAAAAAATCAATAATTTAGTTATTTTCTGGAATAATCGGACCAATTAATTTTTTGATAAATTCATTTCTACCATACAATAAAATTACCCTTAAAAGACCACCCTCAGTTCCACATGATTTTGTTGTGTGTGGTGGTCTCTATAGAGTTGTAATGTTCACACTCTTTTGGATGTACCTGAACAGTGCTTAAATAGCGCCAGAGCGCAGCTCCGGTACTTCTCAATTCTTAAGATAAGTTACAATTTTAGACTGAGCATACCGGAGCTCTAAATAAAATAAGCTCCAGTACTTTTTTATAATACATCTTTTATACATCTGCTTGATGTCTATAATTATATCAGCAGAGAGCCGTAGTCAAAGAAAACGTTCTCTCTCACAAAGATTCCCCTCATTTTTTGTTTCCACCCATTCACACCCTCATTCTGTTTCATCCTGGAATTTTCATCAGGTATACTTTAAGTATATTTAATTTTTGTGATGATAAAAGAACTTCTCCTTCTTATGATCAGAGCTTAAATTGGGCCAGAGCCCAACGGATCTCGGTTGTGGTGCTTCTCAGTTTTTGTAATAAATCATAATTCTAGCCAGAACATGCCGGAGCCGTGAATAAGAAGGCTGCGGCACTTCTTTTATATAATTGAATAATGATTTCAGTAGAACTTTTATCTCAAATTTTATTTTAACAATAAAATTACATTAAAAATCACTTATTAAATTTCAATTTATCTCTTTAACATTTTATTTAATTTTAATTATTTAATTACTTCAATCTTTATTATTTCAATAAATAATAATTGATTATCTAATAATTATCAATTAAAATTAAATTATATAATAATTATTGATTAAATAACAATTTATAAGCATTAATTAAATAGCTATTGATTAATTTGATAATAATTAACTATTTAATTTAAAAATTATTAATGAGTTCAATAGTCATTTTATTTTTTTACTCTTGTTCCTCTTTGCTGACGGTCCTCCTTAGGGCTCCGGTACTTCTAATCTTAGAAATTAAGCCCTATACATGAAAAGAATTAACTCAAACTTTACAAGTTTACTTGAACAAAACTCAAGAGTTACTTAACCTGCATATTTCATCATAAACAACACATATAGCGAAGTCTATGTGTAGGTGATGAATCTACATGCTTGAGTTGAGTTCTTATTCCGCATGTTTGAAAGCATCACTGCTGTCGACTTCATAATTTGGGAGAACAAATCTGCAGTGTCAGCTGCAAGCATTCTATACATTCTGTCCTTCATAAACTCCCTCCAAAAGAAATCTGAAGGGGTCAAGTCTGCTACGAGTTTTCGTACTTAGCAAAAATTTTCAAGTTTTTTTCTAACTATGTAAACCACAGTAATATAAACACATTAGATTCAGATATATGTCATTCATCTTAATCTTTTTTCCCTGAATGTGCAGTATTTAAAATAATACAGCTTTATAATATTAAGTTCATTTACAGAGATATTGCTTACCTGCAATTTTTGCAAATCTTTTAAGTGGGTTATGTATTTAAAGTTTTGTCACATGAGTATACTGAAATTAAAAGGTAATCATACTGAGGAAAGCAGAATGTTTAAAGGCGTCCTCATAAAAAATCCTAGATCATTCCTTTCCAACAATGATGCTCAGCTCTTGTACTTGAGTACCAGTTTAAGATGCATACCAAGCCATGGACCACTAACCACACTTTGTTCTACTCATAATTAAGGAATGTGTTCTAGAATAGTACAGTGTATTTCCCAAATTAACATTTATATTTTTAGACAGTTTTAGTCATAAAACAATAACAGTAGTAATTAAGGTATGATACTGAACTTATTTTTCTGTGAAATATTTGTCTTTAAATTTTAAGGCTTAAAATATTATGAATTAATCAGAATGTACAAAGAATAAATTCACCAATGTTGGTTTTTAATATTAATATTTCCTTCTTTCTAGAAAAAACATGTTTCTGAAGTATTATTATTATAAAGTCTTTTAGGAGTTCAATAATTGGTATTATTAACCTAACGAATAAATTCCCTAAGTAGTTTCCAGCTTACTAACACCAGATTTGTAATAAATATACTAAGTATCATTAAGTGGACCCAGTATCATCTGTTCTCAAATCATGCCAATAATGAAATCACCATCTTGCTTATCCATTTAATCCATTGACTTTCAAATAATAATAATTTAATTCTAATTACATTTTGTTAGATATGCTGAGAGTATCTCTTTTAAAATTTTCTTTTCCTGATTTTCTGAAGAACTCTTAAAAAACGTATGTCCCCAACCATAAAAAATATTTGGAAGGATGTCTATTGAAATCACGTAAGACATGCTTATTTTATGCCTGCAGCTTAGGTAAATAAATAATAATGCAAGGGTAAACAGATTGAATGTATTAAAAATTTTTCCATTTAGAAAAAATACAGCATAAACATAACATCTTTACACAATGTTACTTGATACATTTGGTGAACCCCTCAGGGGCTCACTCTTGTGAGTACGGGTGTGGCAATCCCGAGGTACTCTAGCCCTTCAGGGGATCATCTTGGTGAGACGGATGTCACGATCCTGGGGCCCCAGTGATCTATCCTCTTTTCCATCTCCTCTCCTCTGACCGGATACTTTTTTTCCTTCCATTTTCCCGTGTGGTTTTTCTCTTCAGAGGTTGGGGCTCGTCATAAGAAACTGGAACACCCTTGTTTCAAGTTTTCGAGTGGCGAGAAAACTGCCCACATGTTTGCCTTGCATGGAGACCCGTGTTGCTGGAAAGGAGGGTCCTGGTAGTTCAGGGGCGAGGTACTGTTCCCAACCAAGGCCAACTAGATATCTACAGGCCTGCTCCAACCTGATGATCACATGATCTGACGTCATAATCTTAGTCTTTCAATTTTGCAGGTTGAGCTTACTTCGCCGTAGGACTAGTGCTAGTGAGATATTTGTTTACATGTGTTTTTTTCTTCTGAAAAATTTTGTATTTTACCGGAAAGTAAAATATTATATTGTGAATTTGAATTTATAAGAAAAAGTGTGTTTTAGAATGCCAAGAAAGTGTAGTGTACCTAAATGCCGATCAAATTACGATAGAACTAATAAACATGTGTCCACTTTCAAATTTCCTTCAGATCCTGTACTCTCTCAGAAATGGATAAATAATATTAATCGCAAAGATTTTTGTAGCTGGCAAACACAGTAGTGTATGCATTAAGCATTTCGAAGAAGAATTTATCGTTCGAGAAGATAAAGTTGTTCGTGATGATGGAACGGTATTAGTAGTTCCTAGAACTATTCCAGCTTTAAAAAAAGATGCTTATGTAAAGATTTTTTAAAACCAGCCATCTTATTTATCGAAGAAACTTCCCACAAAAAGAAAAACACCAGAAGAAAGAGTAACAGAAATTGATGTTCGTTGTGATAAACAATTTGAACAGTGGAAAAAGAATGATATTATTAGCGATTTTGAAAACTTAATAAATGGTTTTGCAAGAAAAATAGATCTTTCCTCTTCATGGATATTCATAACCAAAGGTAAGATCTTTTGGCTATCGAAATTAGAATTTTTAAACTGTCCAAAAGTGCTTGTATCTTTAAAAATATTGGAAGATTTAAATGTAAGAGTTTTTTTCAATGAAAATGAAATTCCCATTGAAAAGTTCAAATAGATATTTGAAGAAGAAAACTATGTGATAAATGGTTTAAACTTGAGACAATGATTAGCCATTTGGATGGTTTATCTGCTTCTGATATTCATGATGACTGCAATTTAAATTTAAATAAAATATCAAAACTACTGTTGAAATGTGCAGAAACAGAAAATAATCCACATTCTGAGAAATTTTAAGTTTTTGTATGAACAGATTCAATTAATGCAAATGAAACAGCCTTCGTATAGTGCAGAATTCCTTGCCTGGTCTTGTTATATATTTTATTGTAATCCAAACAGCTGCAATATTATACGTAACAGTAAGTATTTTATATTGCCTCATCCTTCATACTTAAGGAAGATATCTCTGAAAATTGGCCGAGCAGATTCTGGATTACAAACAAGTCACTGGATGTATTTGAAAAAAAAAAAAAAAAATACGAAATTTTAAATGATTCTGAAAAAATTGACAATTTATTATTAGATGAGATATATATAAAAACACAAGTTTCGTATAAAAGTGGTTGTGTTTTAGGTTTTTCAGATAATTCGCAAATGGAGGCCACAACTATGCAAACATTTATTATAAGCTCTATATTATCAAAAAACAGATATTGTAGCAATGTTTCCCATAAAAAACTTATTATCACATCAATTATTAATATTTACAAAACAAGTAATTGACCATGTACAGTCTTGTGGCTATCGAATTATAACACTAATATCAGACAATAATAGAATTAACAGAAATATGTTCGAAATGCTCTGTGGTGGTGCATTAAAATCCTCTTTCTCTCTAGTGTAGAATTGGGTGCCCCTTCGATTAGCGACAATTTTTTTCAAATTTCGGCGATGAAACCTCACTTCTGGTTACCATGATAGTTTTAACTTTGTTTTAGCTTCCTGATTTTATTTAAATGAAAATAGATTGATGTGTACATGGACAAATTTAAGCCAGTGCGCAATGTCTAGTTTGTGCAATTCTAGGATGTTTTTTTAA